TCCTAGCACTCTGGGAGGCCAAGGCGGGAGGTCTGCTCAAGGTCAGGAGTTCGAAATTAGCCTGAGCAAGAGTGAGACCCCGTCTCTACTATAAATAGAAAGAAATTAATTGGCCAACTAAAAATATATAGAAACAAAATTAAAATCAGCCAGTCACAGTGGTGCATGCCTGTAGTCCCAGCTACTCAGGAGGCTGAGGCAGGAGAATCACTTAAGGCCAGGATGTTTGAGGTTGCTGTGAGCTAGGCTGATGCCACGGCACTCTAGCCCAGGCAACAGAGTGAGACCCTGTCTCAAATAAATAAATAAATAAAATTTAAATTAAAAAAAGCTTCCTTCCAATGTCTTCCCATTTTACTTTCAGAGGAATTCCGTTTCATCTGCAAATGTGAAGGTTTCTCCATGCATTCTCCTCCTCGGCAGGACACTACCAGTTTGGCCATACTCCTTCTTACATTCCCCTACACTCAGAAAGCTGAGATGCACACATTGAATAACCAAAGCCAGGAAGTCCAGAAGTGTCCAGAAAAATCTACATCCACTGGTTGGCCCTTCTCACATTTATTTTCTCCCTCCTAGAACTCAGATTTGTCAAGCGTAATTTCTCCATCTGCCGGTCAGGTTTTCTTCGGGGCCCAGTGACATCAGCCTGTCCCACGGATTGGACACTCTTGCTGGGAGTGGAGAATTAGCTCTGATAACAAGCAGCATGGCTGTGATCTTAATTGGGAATTCACCAAAGTGAAGTGCCAGTCTGGTAATAAGAGCGAACACATACAGCTCGGTCCCCAGACAGGGTCCCAAGCACCCTATCTGTAGGAACCCACATAATGGAACCCCAGAGCGGGGATCTGGACCCCGCAGGCCAGGCTCAGAATCTGGGCTCTTCTGCAGCCTCTGTCAAACCCCAACCTGGGCCAGCAACTCTGGACTGCCCTTACCCTCCTGTCCTCGTCCCGCACAATGAGGGTCCCCAGAAAAGCAGCACAAAGAAAAGACCCTCCCAGAACTTCCTTTATTTCAGGACACAGCTTTTCCCCGGACACTCCTCTATGACAAATCTGAAAGTTTTCCACAGAGCTACCAGCAGCCTGCTTCCTCTTCGCAGCAGCGCCGACTCACCCTCTAGAAGTCAGAGACAAAAGGAGAGCTTCCTCCGGCCATCAGGGCACCCCGCAACACAGGCACAGCTCAGAAGACTGGCCCTGCTCTCCTGATGCCTTCCTCTCTGCCCACTGACCCCTGCCCAGAGGGTCAGAAGGCAGGAGGAGAAGGGAAGTGGGGAACTGCCCTTCCCAGGTAGGGAAATGCTCCCCAGGTCCGGTGAGCTGGTTTTACATGTCTATGCAGCTTTAGCTAAGAAGGGCAGGATACAGTCAAGAATGTCCTCCACCCCCTGGCCCCACCCCCCTCTCTGCGTCCAGTCTGGGTCAAAGACAAGCTACGATCTGGCCCAGGCCTCCACCTGGAAAGCTAAAGCAAAGGATATTATTAAAGTCACAGGTTAAGGATCACTCACTCCACAGCTCCTCATTTAGAAGCCTGCAGTGGCGTTAAATGTAAACACTTCCCAAGAATGCTTTAAAACAGAGGGAGGTTTTTATTAAAGGACTTAATTGAGGGCCACTTCTCATTGTGGAAAGCTCTTAAACCCATGAATAAAAGGGGCCTGGTGGGTGTTTTCCAGACACTTGTTTTTTAAAATCTGCCACGCTGTCATGGGGAAATGAAGCACACAGCTCAGGCCCCTGTGTGTGCTCCTGCTGCTAAGTCTTCGGCAGAAATAAAATACCCAATAAGACCTATTCCCCGGCGGCAGCAAGAACCTGGCATGAGAGCTTCATTCCAATATTCATTTCAAGGGTCATTAGAAGCACTGGGTGGGAAAAGTGGAAAACATAAGGCTGGCCACAAAGGACCGAAATAAATGGAGAAAGGCATGCATTTTAAAGTTTGAAAATAAAACACAACTTGGGACAACAACAGGCCTAATGAAACTGAGGCTTGGAGAGCTCTGCAAAAAGACACTGAGTAACAAGCAGCGAAGTGCTGACACAGGTTGTTATACAACGCACAGACGAACCTTGAAAACCTCAGGCTACGTGAAAGAAGCCAGATGCAAACAGTCACCTATTGCATGAAATTCACTGATATGAAATATCCAAAAAAGGCAGTTCTATAGAGTCAGAAAATGGACGAGTGGTTTCCAGGGGCAGGGGGAGAGAGGAATGTGCAGTAACTGCTTTAAGGGGTACAGGGTTTCTGTCTGGGGGGAGGGGAGGGCATAAAAAGTGTTGGAATTAGATAGTGGTGATGGTTGCACAACACTGTGAATGTACTTAATAGCATGCACTGTGCACTTTAGATTGGTGAAAATGGAAATTTTACGTTGTGTGTATTTTACTGCCAAAAAAAAAAAAAAAAAAAGACCAGGAACTCCAGAAAGATCCTTTTTCAGCTCCTGAACCCAAGTACAAATACACATGCTACAGGCCAAAATATTGATGAAATAAATGGTATTTTACTAACAACTCGTGTATTGAGCTTTTACCTTCACCGTGCACTTCACAAGGACAAGTCACTAAATCTTCACACCAATCTTCAGATGGACATCACTGTTGTCTTTATCATTATGTTTATTTTACAGGTGAGGAAACCGAGGCACAACGAGGTCAAGTATCTTGCCCAGGGTCACACAACAAATACCAAAGAAGCCAAAGGTTGAATCTAGACACGTAGGGTAGCCAGGTACCTTACGCCATACTTCCTGCTGCCAACCACTGGGCCACACTGCTACCGAGTCACACACGCTGCTACAGGAACTGTCTTGGGGGCCTAGTTTACCACTTTGCCCACGACCCAGATATTCTTTCACCATTGAGCCCTTATCATTTGTTAGTGGCCCTGAGTGATCACCTATGAGCTGGGCCCTCTAAAACACACCTTCAAAAGGCACGCCTTAGGAATCACGCTAACACCTTCACGTGTGTAGAGCTATTTTCATATGTGCAGAGTCATTTTATGTAGTCCTAGGCACAACAGGAGATGGGAGGGTCAAACAATTGCCTGTCCCTTCACAGAGGAGAAAAGCTAGAGACTTGCAGAGGCTGTCACTGGCCCCAGACCCGGGACACCCTGCTGGAGGCTTCCTGAAGGGCTGGGAGTGACTACCAGAGCTGTTAAGGGACTCACAGGTTTTAGCACGGTTATTTACATGTGAATGACGAAAACAATTGCAAATGCAGTTAAGGCACACTTAATGGAGAATAAAGTGGCTGGTCTCACTTCAGGGGCACCTATGGGGCAACCCAGAAGCATCAATAAAAGGTTAAATTCCATTCTTCCCACCCTACTTAAGAAAGGAGGGATCTTTGTCACTGGCCTGTAGCTCCCTTTGATCAGAGACCTTTAGAAGAGCTACCACTGTTTGAGGTTCCACCTTGCCAGGGTTCCTCAGCCTTGGCACTACTGACGTCTTAAGCTGGATAATGCTTTGTCGTGGGGGACTGTCCTGGGAATTGTAGGAGAGTTAGCAGCATCCCTGGCCTCTACTCGCTAGATGCCAGTAGCCGCCACCACCACCCCCACACACCCACCAAGAATACCTCCAAATATTGTCAAACTTGTTTGAGAACCACCAGACTATGTCAAAGAGATGTGGCCCTGACAACGTCACACTCACATTTTGCAGATGAGGAAATAAACCCGAAATGGAAGAGGACCTTGCCCAGAACCACACTCCCGGGGACAGGCACACGGGGCTTCCCATCCATGTAGGGGAGACCCACAGTGAGGAGGAATGAAAATACCGCGGAACTACTTTCTCCTGGCTCGTGTATTTAAATGTGAAACTGTACCTCACCCTGGGAAAACGGATGGTGGGCTTGAACCTTACCAGTGTGTTTGTCCTCGACTCCAAAGAAAAAATACATTCCGCAGGGCCCGAGGGCAATGCCCTCCAAATAACAATGCCTTAAGCAAACACTGGCAGAAAACATTGGCCATCAGAACTTGAAACACATACAAGAACTCTCTTATTTTTGTGAAACAGTCCCCACCCTTCTCAGCACCCCCAGTCCCCAAAGTTTACAGATGGCCCAGGGCAGCACAGATAGTTAGGGCTGAGCTGGTCTGGCCACATCTGGGCACAAAGGTGCTCAAGCTCCAAACCTGAAACTCACAAGTAAAAGAAACCTTAAGTCTGGTAAACTCTACCCTGCAGTCCCTTGGCAAACTATTCTCTCTCCCTCTTATCTCTCCCTCCATTCCTTATCAGTTCCTCTCTAGCTCCTAAAGCTTTCACAGTAATCACTACTGGAAGTAAACTTTCCAGGTTTTGATACTAGATTAGGGCAAGGAGAAAGGCTAATCAACTTTTAAGCTGCTGCTGTAATTCTGAGTAAGTCACTGTTTTTAGAAAAGAGAATAAAAAGCACATAAGCCCAAAATGGTGGGGAATCAAACCTTTTTTTTTTTTTCTTAAGCTATCAAGACAGCTTCAATGAAGTTCAAGGATATATAGTAGTTCATAGGATATACCAGAACTTCTTCATGACTTTGAACACTGGGCCAATTTCTCTTTCTTTAGTAATCAGGTCAAAGGACCCCAGATGTTGAGCGTCCGACAGTGCACGCTGGAATCCTCAAATTCCCACTCGGCACCTGTCTCCCAACCTCATGGAGCCAGCTTCCTTACCGGGAAAATGGGGTCCTGGGGAGCAATGATCACAGCAGTTCCTCTGCCCCGTATGCGCTATAAATTTGCAAGAGGAAACAAAGAAACCGTTTCAAATGCAATCAAATATGAGGATAGAAAACTAAGGGAAGAGGTCAAAACCAAGAGAATTAAACATTGAGGCCAAAACTAGAAAATCATGGTCACCTTACCCCAATCCTCTAGCAAAGAGATAAGTAACAGTGAAAGATATTTTAATAATAAAGAGGCTTTACAGACCTAAAAAGAAGTACAAAGCAGTGACCTGAACCATTACATACTCTACCTAAGGCAAGCAGAAATCCCTGTGATTGGGCCGCAGGGAGTAAACTCCACCCTGTCAACAAAGAGGCTTCCGGCCAGGCTGGCAGAAATATTTCATGTTCATAACAAATGCCCTGTGCTCTAATCCCAAACATTCTAACTCCGTGACGACCCTCCACTAAGTACCTGGAAATGGTCCCTAGCTGATCCTTGCCGGGTTGAAACAGGCTACGGCCCACCGTAGTAATGGACACTCATTCACTGCGTATAACTCATCGTCACTAATGATAGCTCCATATGGCCTCTAAGCCCCTACCACCTGTAATTTTGAGAGCTCAAGGTAATTACTATGCAGCAAAGTTTTGTTTTTGCCAGGAGTACCACACAAACAGGACTTGGATGTGCACAGCTTCGTTTTGCTCCGGAATGTCTAACGCTGCTGAATTTTGTTTTTAATCTCTTACCCAACAACCAGTTATCTACAGAAACTCAGAAAGTTTGCAGAACATGAAGAAATGTGGAGATAACATATCTCTAACCTAGAATATGCGACTCATCCAGAGCCTTTCCGAACAGCCTGACTGACCACCGTCTCCTTTAAATTACCTAGAAAAGTGGGATTCCATAAAGTTCCCCTTGGAATCACACGGCCGCAGAATGGTTTTTAGTCTACTGTTACACCTCATCTGGTAGAGGAAAACAATAAATCAGCCCAGATCTAAGGAGACCTTGATGTTAAAAAAAAAATAAACAAAGCACTGAGAACACAATTTCCTAATCAGCTCTGCTTAAGAGGCACAAGAAACAGTGGAAGGAACTTAGTTTTGTGTTCAGACAGACCAGAACGCTGTCGAACCTCAAACTCTGCCTCTTTCCAGCACTGTGAGCCTCTGCAGGATCCAGCGCTTCTTTGAGCCTCAGTTTCCCTACCTGTAAAATGCAGTCATTGCCACCTGCCACGCAGGAATCTAAGCGTTCAGAGCAATGGAAGAGAAGTGCTGAGCCTACTACCTGGCACTGGTATGGCGGTCAATAAACAAATCGTAACTATTCTTACAACTCTGGGGTTATTGGCCCTATGGCTCAGCTCTTTGGAAACCACCTTCCCTCTCCCCAGTAAGAAATGTATCCAAAATCAGTCATTTAAAAGTTGATGTAGGCCAGGCGCAGTGGCTCACGTCTATAATCCTAGCACTCTGGGAGGCCAAGGCCAGAGGATTGCTCAAGGTCAGGAGTTCGAAACCAGCCTGAGCAAGAGCGAGACTCCATCTCTACTAAAAATAGAAAGAAATTAATTGGACAACTAAAAATATATATAGAAAAAATTAGCCGGGCATGGCAGCGCATGCCTGTAGTCCCAGCTATTCAAAAGGCTGAGGCAGAAGGATCACCTGAGCCCAGGAGTTTGAGATTGCTGTGAGCGAGGCTGGCGCCATGGCATTCACTCTAGCCTGGGCAACAGAGTGAGACTCTGTCTCAAAAAAAAAAAAAAAAAGTTGATGTAAGGACTTAATACGCTGTAATTTAAACCCAAGTAAAGTGTTTCTTATGGCTACTGTGCCAATGAATGGAGGCATCTACCCAGGTGAGGTCAGCCAGGTGCCCCACAGCACCCATGGTCTCTGCGTTTATCTCAATTATAGAAGTTCCTAACTTACTGCCACCCACAGTCCCCATCCCCACCTGACTGCGGGCTCCTTACTCAGGGACTGTAGCCTCAGCAACTCAGTGGGTAACACAGAGCTTTGCCAGCTGTAGAGGCTTCATAAGTATTTGCTCAATGAGTGGATAACGAGGAAAAAAACACCCTCAGCATGAATTGAAGGTGAAGTACTCTCTCTCCCAAGGCTACTGGTTTCGGGGGTGGAGAAGGGGGGTGAGGGAAAGGGGTTTGGAACCGGAATGTTTGACAGAAAAACTCCAGCAAGCTTTCCCTCCTCCGTGAAGGCCAGTCAACCCTGGAGCTACTCCCATCAAGTCCCCCTCCCTGTTTCTTTTTCTTTTCCATTTTTAGGGTTTTCATGTCATAATTTGTTTCTTGATAAGAGCAATGTCACATGCCGGCATAAAGTAAGCACTTGGTCATCCTGGGAAAAGTTACCCAATTTTCAATTCCCCTTGAACTTTGTTTTCCTGCTCTGATGCCAACTTCTCAGCCATTTCACTGCCCTTAAGTGCCAGGATCAGAGGAGGAAAAGAAAGGAAAAGCACAAAATTGGTTGGCTTTTTAAAAAATATCAATGGCATCTCTAAATGGGTTTCAAGGGGGAAAGTTAAAGAGGTCATTGAATTTCTCTCACCATCCTTCACCCCATCAGTACAGAAAATTAATTTAAAAAAAAAAAAAAAAAAAGAGGAAGCCAACAGGGCAGTCAATTCTTAACACGAATCAAAGGTCTCTTCTGGATGCTGTATACCCTCTCCCTAAATGAAGAAGCCCCTCACTAACTCTTCATATTTTTCTTAACTTTCTTCTAATCACTTTAGAATATTAGAGCTGCTACTGCAAACTGAGAAATTTCAATAAATCTGTTTAGGTCCACATTTACATATACTTTTTCTTTTCCTTTTCTTTTTTTGGGGGGAGGATCCAGAATGCATTATTAATATTATATTCCCAGGCCGGACGTAGTGGCTCACGCCTGTAATCCTAGCACTCTAGGAGGCCAAGACGGGCAGATTGCTCAAAGGTCAGGAGTTCGAAACCAGCCTGAGCAAGAGCAAGACCCCATCTCTACTAAAAATAGAAAGAAATTGGCCAACTAAATATATATAGAGAAAAAATTAGCTGGGCATGGTGGCGCATGCCTGTAGTCCCAGCTACTCGGGAGGCTGAGGCAAAGGATCGCTTGAGCCCAGGAGTTTAAGTTTGCTGTGAGCTAGGTTGACACCACGGCACTCTAGCCCAGGCAACAGAGTGAGACTGTCTCAAAAATATATATATATTATATTCCCAGTATAACTATTGCTGTTCAGGTGCAACTTTTCAGACACCAAGAGTTCAACAGCAGCCTCAAAGAAACATTTTTTTTCCCAAAATTGAGACAAGATTTTCAAGTTAACAAACTATGCAATAATATGGCTTTATTTTGTTGGCATGGTCCAAAAAAAAAAGTACTAAAATACTTTCCATATGGTCTTGTTCCCCAAAGGGTGAGGACTGGGGTCAGAGGCCACCCTGCGAGACCATGCACTCCATGTAACCTCCATTCTCCAGCCAGAGCCAAGACAATTAAGACGTCTCCCAGAGTGGGCACACTTCCAGCAAGTGAGTACAGCGATAGGAGCAGAGCACAGTAAAGAGAAAAACCAAGTGGGCAAAATTATATAATTTTTTTTATTTTTCTAAATGAACATTCTTTTGACTCATGTTAGGAGATAGAAATGAGCACAAACATTCCTTCACCTCTGGAGGGCATGAAAGTATGTTACCCCCTGCTAATAACAGGGCCAGCACCTAAGAAAAAAATTAAATCCACTGATGTGTGGCCAGGTAGCAACATTCAGGTTGGAATCTTATACAAATATCATACTTGGGGCACAATGGTAAATTAACCAAGCTCCCCGGGGACTATCATGTTAATAACAAGGACAGTGAAAACACACTTTCTTAATAGGATCTAATTCAGGCAATATACACTTAAGTTCAAAGTTTCCCTAGTCCCATTTCCCTATCATTTTTAAGATCATTTCACAGGAGTTTTGAGATGTGCCATTCCATTGTAAGGCACTAATTCCCTAACTCAGATATTATTCTGTCAAAAAGAAATATACACTGTGTTACATCTGCAGGGCTTGATCACACATCAAGAATTTAACCTATTAACAAATGCACACACATTAACACAAATATCAACCACAAAACCTTAAAGATCTTGTTAGCTTTGCCTCTTAAAGGAAAATTCCCCACATTTATGCAAAACCATTCTCTCTGTATGGAGGGGCGGGTAATCCAAGAGCTAACCAATTCCTAAAGTATTTGCACTCCTTTTAAAGCTGAAATCCTTTCCAAATATGACAAGTCAAACTATCACCTGGTTTTCCCTGAATAAGACAACCTTATCTTATAACCTTGACGCTCACAAGGACTCCCTGGTCCTAATACCTACAACTCCCAACTCCTTGGCAGAAAGTGCCTGGCAATACTTACTGTAAACAGAGAGGTAGAAACAAAGGGAACTTCAAAAAGGCACCATCTGCAGCACCAACCAACAAGGTGTCCAGGTGGAGAGGTGGATTATAGAAGACTCTGGGGTGCCTGACATGTGTTCTATATCAGGATTGATCTTTAGTGGTTCAAAAAGCGGCCAGTGGGAGCAATCCCTAAAGCAGAGGTTCTCTAACTCGGTTGCACGTTAAAATCACCTGGGGGGGGGGGAAGCTTTTAAAAATTCCATTGTCTTGGCGGCAACCCCCACCAACGGAATCGGGATCTCTGGAGGTGGAACACAGGCACCAGTATTTTTAAAAACTCTCCAGATGTCCCCAAAAGAATTTCCAGCGTGCTTTGGGGAGCACAAGCAGCGTTGGAAGGGTACTGCTTCCTTGCGGGGGCGGGGGGTGGGACACACGCATAGCAAATACACAAAGTTTCTAAAATCCTGTGCAACTAACTCCAACATGACAGCCAAGCTACCTGTCTGGAAGCCAAACAGTGATGCAACTTGGAAAAGTCCCTCTGAAAGCTAGGATACTCGCTCTCAGTGAGGCAGGGGCTTTTAGGGATGACCTGCCCGGCCGGTGCAGCGGTGGACACGGCCGGGGACAGGGAGGAGGTCACAAGCCCCTTTCTTTTCATGGGACGAGCATGCCGAAGAATTAAGTACAAGACAGGACAGGGACTGCGGTGCTCCGCGAGGGTCGCTCCCAGCTGTCGCCGAAGCCCGAGGGTGCAAGTAGGGGTGCGAAGGCAGCCAACCCCTCTCCACTAAAGGAAGGTCCTGGAGACCCCCCTCCCTGCCCCGCACCGACGCGAGTCCCCCAGGAGTCGCCCTGGTGCTGCACGTCTCCGGGCAGGGCGCGGCGCGGCGCGGGGGCAGGAGCGCACCTTCCAGCCCCGGGACCCGCGGGCGCCGCGCCGCTCCGAGGGCGGACGCGCGGGCTGGGCGCAGCGCACCTGGCGGAGCCCGCGCCCCGCGGGGTCCCGCCGCCCTGGGTGGCTCCTCGGCCCCGGGGCCCGCTCCCCTCGCACGCACGCACGCCCGCTCTCGCCGCGACCCACTCACCGCCGCCGCCACCTCGGGGTCCCGCTCCCGCCGCAGCCCCGGAGCCCGGCCGGAGTGCTGGGCCCGCGCCGCCGCCGGGAGGCCGGGCGAGCCCGCGCCCCGCCCCGCAGCCGCGCGCCCGCCCCCCGGGGGAGGGGCAGGCCCGGAGCCGCGCAGACGCCCCTCCCCGGCGGCCGGCCCTCCCGCGCCCAGCCTGGCCCCTCCGGACAGATTTCCCCGGACTCCGCCCGCACTCGGCCTCGGGTCCCCGGCGCGCCCTCCCTCCGCCACCACCGGGCATTTTCCTTCTGCCAGCCTCGACCTTTCCCAATCCCCCGTCTGCGGGAAGCCCTCTCTGTTCCGCGCCCCGCACTGCCCGGACTCAGTTTCCCCCTTACCCTCCGTGCCGCCTTTTCCTCCCCAACTAGTCAGAAACTTAAGGTGTAGTCCTTTTCTTCTACCACATGGAACCTACGCGTATTTATTGAGCACCTACTATGTCTAGACGCTCGTGGGGTGGTACAAGATTACGGTCGCCTCGCCTGGTATGGTGGCGTGTGCACCTGTAAGTCCCAGCCACTCAGGAGGCTGAGCCAGGAGGATCGCTTGGGCCCAGGAGTTCGAGTCCAGCCTGGGCAACATAGTAAGACCACGTTTGTGGAAAAGAAAAAAGACCA